TTGGCTAATATTGCCACCTTGTGGCCTTGTACAAAATATTGATTGGTATCAATTACTGTGTTTTTATGTTCAATTGTTTCCTGACTGAGGTTGGTTTCTTCAGTCAGGATGGTTGGTTTAGAGGTCTGTTATAAGCACTATAGATCCTACAACTTTAGTCATATTGCTGTTAATCCTATATTTACCGCTTTTCTGTTGCTTCAGGCTCTTTAGGTCTGCATTTCGTGAAACATTAGCAAAATCAGAAGTCCAAGTGTCTTTTCTGCTTACTAATTGGTACGTGGATAAGCAGCAATACGTTTTCTTATAACAAACATGCGCTTGCTCACTTGACAACACTTAGTTGCAGCTATTTAAAGAATACAGAGGTGGGTGAAAAGTAGTGAGACCCAAGTGCAGGCAAGCCTCTGTGTAAAGGTCACTCCAACCCTAATTGCAAAATATAAAAACTAGAAAGTACAGGGCGCCACAGTCACTATACTGGTAATACAATGAATGTGGGTTCAAAAAGGAATGAAGTGATAAGGTAAAAACAGCAAAGTTTTATTGATAAACATATAAACAATCTCAGCACAAGATATGTGCAATATATAAAAGATATTTAAAAGCCACAATAGGCTAAGGACCCATAAGTATAGCAGCTCAATATGACATGGTACTGTGCTAAGTCAAAAAATGCAAATGCTAGAGTGCAAAGCAAACAAAGTGAGAGAGCATAAAGTCAATCACTAGTATAGGTGAACAACACTCAGCCAAACACAAATACTGCACAAGCAATATACAAACAGACGGTGGAGTATATATTTATTTCAGTTTTTTTTTATATTTTTATATGTAGTGCATTCATTTATTTTATCTGCTCCATTGGATCTACCTCTACATCACCTGGGAGTTCCACATTATTTGGAGATATGCCTGATACATTTCTTCACTTGTAAGTGAGACCAATAAAGATATGTTGTAATTTTATTACATACTTCACTATATTTGATTCTTTTATTTTGCATATATTCCACGGAGGATCTGTTTCATCATACTACTACCCCTGGGAGGGTGAGAAGTCTGAGTTCATTTTTGTTTGTGAGTGCACCTATTTGCATTAAATATCACTCACTTATTTATACTGTATTACGCTATGCTAGTTTTTTAATTTTTTATACAGATTTCATTTATGATTTACGACCTACAATTCAGGTTATTTGTAAATTTTCTATATTACCACGTATTGGGAGGTGTTTCCACTTTGTCTTTTTAACTGCACAAGCAATATTTGTAACCAGTGTGCATGTAAATAAGAAACCGCTGATACCAAATTGCAGGGTCCCAGGTTATGCTCAACGCGTTTCATCTGTGCTACTTCCTCAGGAGCTTCTTCTTTCTTCCAATCTTCTCTCCTTTTTAAATCTGCCAGTCCATCGGTCTGTCCAGCCACTTTCGTGATCGCGCATGCACACGTCTCGTCACGCGCGTCGACATACATCATGACGCATGCGTGACCGATCAGTGCATGCGCGACCACGCTGGAACGCAAAATAACTTTATTGGTCCTATACACATCCGCATTATGAACGCCCTACATCAAAAGCGTTCACACTTGATGCGGTCTGTGTGTACAGACCTACCTAACTCCCAGCTAACCCCTAACATCAATTACTATCAGCCTAGATGTAAATATAAATAGGACTGGTGGGGTGAATTATATAAATGAGAAATAAAAAATAAGTAAAAAATAATAAGTGAGAAAAAGATGAATAAATAAGTAAAAAATATATTAAAAATATATATAAAAAATATATATTAAAAATACATATTAAAAAAGTATAGTTGAATATAAATGAATGAAGGAATGTTATATGTTGTATGAAAATAAGTCCATTTATACTTTAAATACACAATATAGGTATACATAAAGCCTATATATTCATGATTATCTATACATAATAGTAACAGTCTAACCATACATCAGCGGACTTGAGGGATATAAATATCAACAGTAGGGGTATATCAATCATAAAATCTAATATAATACATATATGTAGTTGCACAATAGCAAATATGTAAATTTGTAAGGTTCGAGAACCATAATGAGGTACATACTTGTGAACAAATGGTATTAAACAGTGGAGGCATAAAACATCTAAATATTCATAAAAAATACTCATAAATAACATATGTTAAGAAATATATTAAAGAATATATTAAAAAATATATATTAAAAAATATACAGGAGGAAAAATCAATAAAAAGCCAATCCAGATATATAGGATTGCTTTTTAAAATCTTATAAGTGTTAGAGTCCCCTAATATTCTCTGGGACTCCTTCATGTAATCGTCTCTATTTAAAATCACAATACTCCCACCTTTGTCAGCTTGTCTGATTACTATCTCTTTATTGTCTTTTAGATCCTTTAAAGCTTGTTTCTCCTTTTTAGTTAGATTCTCTTTACCTCTGCTTTTGGAAAGTTTTTCAAATTCGCTCATTATCATTTCACTAAAAACAGGTATATGATCTACCTTTTCCCAAGTAGGAAAAAACTTTGATTTATTTTTTAAACCTGAATGAATTATCTCAGGTGTCATGGATTCCACTTCTAGTGGTGCCGTGATTGTTACGGAATCACTTTGATTGTCACTCCGTTCGAAATCCACCTCCTTTTTCTTTTCAAAAAACCTTTTTATCGTTAACTTTCTTAAAAACGTCTGAGTATCTATGAATAATTCAAACATATTGGGATCTGTTTGTGGGGCAAATTTTAGTCCTTTATGTAAAATCTGTAATTGTTCCATAGTAAAAACCTCCTTTGATAAATTAAAAATGCCTCCAATGTCCCTTGTTTAGTTTAATCTGACATTTCCCCTTCCTCTACTTCCCCTAAACCTCCGGTTGCTCCCAAGAGCTTCCTTTTCTTGGGGGGGTGTTTGAGTGGTCTGCAAATGGGAAAACCTGTTCCTGTGAAACCAAACATTCTGGCCTCGTTGATAAGTGTCCCTTGGACGACTCCCTAAAAAAACTTTCTGTTGATCGGGCTTATCCCTTATCCCTATTTGATGTATTTTTCTGAGTCTGTTTTCGTCTTACTACCCTGCTCGTCTCTTCATCATTACCATTTCTTATAATATTGAGTCCCCTACTCTCTCCCCTATTATTGCTTATTTTAATTCTGGGTCCTTTGGGGGTATTGTTCTTTTCATACCTAGTTCTAGTCCCATCATTAAATTTGTTGGGCCTATTTTCCCTTATTTTCCTATTTCATCACCTCTAAATTTCTTTTTCCTCCATTCCCTTTGCATACCTTTCTTATAATCATCCTTATCTCTACTTAATTTATTCTCCTTTGATCTTCTCTTCCAATTTTTCTACATTTTTATTCAGTAACTTGCTATTTTCTTTAATCGTGAAAAATGAAAATTTGGATTGGAAAGATGAATACCTCTGGGTGACAGTGGACGTAACATCTTTATACACTGTGATTGACCATGAAAAGGGCATAAAAGCTGTACAAAATGTTTTTTTTTTTTTATATTTTTAACATTTGCATGTGAGGTACCCCAAAGGCAATCCTCCAGCACAGAGATAAATGTTAAAAAACACAACAAGAATTAGACAAGCAAACAGAAAAGAAAAAAAAAAAACATCAATGTAACTGCTAAAAGCATAGATAAGCTGGCAATATATTGTAATATAGGCACTGTGTAAAATTAAACACCGAATGTTTCCACATAAATTACAGTGTTTCCATTGAAAACCATCGTACACATGATGTATATTTCAATCACGCTACATTTGTCCACTGCCAATCGCTATCCAAAGGAATTAACACCAAAAATTTCCATGGTATAGCTGTCACATTGATAAACATACAAATAGATAAATAAATAGAATAATAAAAAAAATAAAAAATTATAATACAAATAAATTACATTCTCTGAGACTCAATATGGGGGGAACCACAATCTGTTACCATAAATTCTGTCTATTTGTCCAGGGTAACCATAGTTTGGCCACATCTCTAGTGCCAAAAATGGGGTTTGATTCCATCCTGTACTGATAATCTATTTGCTCCATAATATTGTGCCATATTAATGGGATAGAAGATTTCCAAGCCCTAGCTATACATATTTTAATGGCAAAAAATATATGGGTCAAAAGATATTTTTGATATTTATCTTGCGAAGGGAAACCAATGTTAAAGAGAAAAAGTTGAGGGCTAATTTCTTTTATCTTCTTAAAAATAGAATTAATAAGGCCAAGCATTTGAATTTTTATATTATCAAGACCCTGACATTCCCACCATATATGATAAATATCATTTCCACATCTCCAACAATTCTTAGAATGTACAGATGATATTTTATATAGTCTAGCCGGTACCATATACCACCTATATATTATCTTTAAATGTGTTTCATAGAGAGAGACGCTATGTATACAGCGCTTAACTAGGAGTGTAGCTTTGGTCCATTCCAGAAGTGGAAAGGATTCCCCAATATCTTGTTCCCATTTAACAAAGGAGGTAGCATGAGAGTCTTGTTCCATTGATTCTAGCAATTTAATAAATCTAGAAATCCCTCCCTTCTTTTTATATAATACAATAAGGGGATTAACGTTGTGGTCCTTAAGTATAGTCCGAGTAAAAAATTCTTAATCCTTAAATATTGAAAAAGATCTCTAGGGGAAAGGTTATACTTTTCTTGCAATTGTATAAATGGGATGGGTTTAAATCCATCCCATAAATCCGAGATCTTCACTAGGCCTAAGTGTGTCCAAGATTGAACATTTATATTATCCATTATGTGTTGTAGGACCACTAATGGAACCCTATATAATAATTTATCTTCTAGCTTCAATTTTTTATTTAGGATTTTGGAGGTATTGATCAAATCTATCAATATACAGTTTGAAAAATACTTGGTATCCAGTTCACCCAAATTTAACATACCCAACCAAAAAAGAATGAACAATTTATATCTAGGGCTATCCTCCTGTTCTAGGGTAAGCCATGATTTATATCCCTGTTCCTTGTCTAGCCACTGTAAAAGATGAGTCGCCATACATGCTTCATGGATTTTATCGACATCTGGAAATGCTATACCACCCTTCTGATAGCTCCTTCGAAGAGTGTCAAAAGCTATCCTAGGTGGTTTATTTGCCCAAATACATTTGGAAATCAGAGTTTGAAAACGGTTAAGAATACCTTTCCCCAGTCTATAAGGAATCGCCCTAAGATAGTATATAAATTTAGGTATCAGAAATGCCTTGATCATATTTAATCTTCCTATCCATGAGGACTCAATCTTCCTCCATTTGTCTACCAGTTGTTGCAGATCTCTTAATAATTTATCATAGTTTGTTTGTATCGTCCTCTCTATATCAAAGGATATTCTAATCCCCAAATAGCCAATAGTATATTTTGCCCATGAGAGTTGGAAATGTGCAGTCAGAAGATCTTTCTGAGCCTCGTGTAAAAAAGAGGCTAAAATTTTTTTTTTTTTCATATTGACCTTATAGTTGGAGAAACTACTATAGATGGATATAGCATCAAATACCGATGGAATTGAAACCATCGCATCCGTCAGGATAAGGAGGACATCGTCTGCGAAAAGGGAAACATTTCCCCATTAGGAGACTTTACCCCCTTTACATTAATATCCTGTCTGATCAAGGTGGCCAAAGGTTCAATTGTAAGAATATATAACAGGGGAGCCAAAGGGCAACCCTGTCTAGTACCATTTTTGACCTCAAAATGGTCAGACTCAACAAAAGGGTTAATTATTTTAGCTGTAGGTCTAAACTGGTCTAAACTGACCTTCTAAGCCAAATTGGCCCATGACAGAGTCCAGGAATCTCCAATTGACTCTGTCAAAGGCCTTCTCAGCATCGAGGGCCATAATAACAGATCCCCATTTATGCTCATTTATTCTATGTATTAAGTTAAATATCCTACGTGTATTATCTGTAGTACCTCTCCCTCGCACAAATCCAGACTGATCAACGTCAATCAGTTCTCCAATTACCTCTTTAAATCGGTTGGACAATATTTGAGAGAATATCTTTATATCTAAATTAATGAGAGCTATAGGTCTATAGTTAGTAATAAGTGTTGGGTCTTTCCCTACTTTGGGTATAGGAATGATTGAAGCCAATAACATCTCATTGGGGAAGGGGGTATCCGCGGACGCCTTCGTAAACATCTCTAAAAGGATAGGGGAAATGAGTCTAGAAAAAGTTTTATAGAACATTGTTGAAAAGCCATCTGGGCCTGGAGCCTTATTCAATTTTAACTTATCTATTGCTTCTGTTACTTCTGATAATAGGAATGGGGCATTCAGCATTTCCAGCTTCCTTTGGTTAATTTTTGGTAATTTAAGATTACTCAAAAATTTATCCATTTCTTCTCTACTCTTCCCTACCTCCTCTAGGTTATATAAAGATTTGTAAAATTCCACAAATGCATTTACAATATCATTTGGTGACACTAAATGTTTATCACCTAAGACAATTTTTTTTATAGATTTATCTTTGAGGTTATTTTTAATTTTATTAGAAAGGTCTTTATTTATTTTATTATTGTTATGGTACCATCTTTGTTTAAGGAATAGTATATTTTTATTGACCATATCATAAATTCTATCTTTGATAGTTTCCCTTAATTTAGCTATTTCTTCAATTAAGTCTTTATTCACCATATTTTTATTTAGACGTTCCTCATTTGCCAATTTTATTCTTAACTCTTGCAGAGATTCTCCCTTCTTCCTTTTAGATTCAGAGCCAAGTTTAATCAATAGTCCCCTTATATAGCTTTTAAGGGTACACCATACCGTTACCGTAGAAACGTCCCCATTATCATTGGTAATCAAAAAGTTTTCAATTTCAGATGACAAAAAAATCAATGTTGCACTCTGATTTCAAGAGGCTTTCGTTAAGTCTCCACCTTGTCCTTGGTCTAAGACCACCTTTTAACTTAACCTTAATGAATACTGGTGCATGATCTGATACAACTATGGATCCAATATTGGATTTAGTAATAGAACTCAAAAACCCAGCTTTCACCAAAAACATATCTATTCGAGAATAGGTCTGAACATGTGAAAAAAAAGTGTAATCTCTCTCACTAGGATTCAAAGTCCTCCAACAGTCAAATAGAGAATTCCTATCTAGAAATTTAGAAAAATCAGAAACATAGGTATTTACAGATTTATAATCTCTAACATTTTTATGGCTTTTATCCTGTGCTGGGTCCAATACACAATTTAAGTCTCCCCCAATTATGATGTTACCACATGCTAATTCATCAACCTTTTCCATAGTTTTATCCAAAAAGTCCCCTGGGCACGAATTTGGTGCATAAATATTAACCAAAGTATATATAATACCATTAATTTTTGCGATGAGTATCACATATCTTCCCATTGGATCCCCAGTTAGATGTATCATTTCAAAATTAATTCTGCTAGAGATTATGATAGCAGTGCCTCTTTTTTTTTTTATTCCCCTCCATATTGGAAGAAAATATCAACGGGAATTTCTTAAACTTCCAGAGTCTCTCTGGGGGATTAATCCAGTGTGTCTCCTGAATAAAAGCAATATCAATATCATTTCCATTTAGAAATTTATAGACCGCTCCCCTTTTCTGTGGTGAATTCAAACCCTGGACATTCCATGATATCACATTAAGTGCCATCATAACACCTATTGTCCTGATTACACCCCAAATCAAGTCTCAGAAAAGTAAAAAAGAAAAAAACAGAAACAAAAAAAGAATACACATTTACATTATAAAGTACATAAAACATAAAAAATAATTCAAGAGGGGGAACAAACCGCCTCTTGGTAATCCAGTGGGGAAACGTATACATATATATATACATATATATATATATGAAGCCCCCTGAACAAGACCTGCCTATAATTGCAGGAATAGAGACCCTAGCGAGAGGAGGAAGGCCTCCAAACTCTTCAGAAACCAAACGTATTCCAAGTATCTAGCCCAAAATCGGTCAAATGGCAATCCACAGTGCTGTCAACTTTGACTAGAATATATGACCGCACTAGCCCCTAGAGCCATAACCCAATAAATTACTAATCTGACACTACTTGATGTATTTTGCAGCTATCCATTATAATAGTACTAATCTCCCTCTCCTCTCCCTTCCCTTGGTCATTATAATTCCAAGATATAATATGAAATATGGAACGTATCCCAGGAAAGAAGCAAAATAAGGAGACCTGTGAACTTATATCTACCTGAACGGACCTACCTATAATTGCAGAAATAAAAACTCTAATGAGAAAAAAAAAAAAGAAAAATTCTCTAGACCTCATCAGAGACCAAGCAGTATTCCAAAAATCCGACCTTTACTTAATACTATAGCCTTCAATAGATCAGTAAGTTTGTCTAGGATATAGGATCGCGTTGGTTTAAAAAACCATATTACAATAAATTGCTATTCTAGTTCTGTTCGAAATATCTCTCCAGCTCTTAAATATGATAGTACAAGTCCTCCCTCTCCTTTCCCCTCCCTTAGCCATTCTATCTACATATTCCCTTGATATATATTTACATGGTCCGACTCCCCCTATCTATTGTGATCTAAATCGGCGTTACCTCTGATATATTATCTTACTATTACCAAATCGCTTCACCTTCTTTACCCCTTTAAAACCCACAAATAACCACAGTTATATCATAAGTGAATAGACCCATACTATGAAATTGTACTACCACACGTGTATAAATAACTTTCTTCCATTCTTATTGGTGCTGAATAATATCGAATCGTAATTATTGTGACCAAAGCTTATGTTGCTACAAAATACGAATGTAGAATCTCTAAAATTCCTTACTGTCAAACTCCATAATTGGAGAAGTGTACTAATAATATCTCGCCTTACCAATTGTAATCCAAACAGTGTTAATACAAAATATGTGAAAAAAAAACAAAAAAAACCTTTATAAATTACATATGTGCTTTATACCATTCTTATATTTATCCAATATGTCACCTTCAATTACCCATCAGAGATATAGCATAAAGAATTTCCAATCTCCTATATAGATAATTATATCAAAACAGAGGAGAGTGAGGGAGGAAAGGCATCTTAACAGAAGATAGTATGTAATAACTATATATTATGGCATAATTATATAACTCCCAACATTATACCAGGTTAACATTACCTTAGACCATAACTTGTGTCAAACCCCTTATATGAAAACAGAATAGATTTTTTATTTTTTTTGAATTACAAATGTTACCAGTTGCCCTTATCCATAAATGAACATTCTTAACTTTAGACATAACTCTGCCCATTGGGCTTGGGCATTCACTGATCTAGTCTGTCTTCACAATTAAATATTATATAAAAAGGAGAGAGAAGAAAAAAAAATTTTTTTTTATAGTGGTAGTAATTAGTCATTGTCTTATTCCAAAAAGGTGGTCATTAATTTGGTCGACTTAGTAAGTAGTCAGTGTCTTGTTTCAGGTAGGTGGTCGTTAATTTGGTCAACTCAAGGAGATAACTACTGTAAGTTCCAAAATTGGATTTTTTCTTGGGCCGCCGAGGCTTCTTTAAGAAGAAATTGTTGATTTTTCATTCCAGACGATACGCGGTTTTCAAAAACAGGTTTCGGATTATATATGGCAAGACAGGAGACCTAGAATATCACTGGAAATTTTACAGAGAGATTGGAAGGAAGGGGGAATTTCTTTCCCAGATATACAGAAACTATATATGAACAATATGGTAGCACATCTAATTAAATGTGACAACTTTGCAATTTCAAGACCAGTTTGGTTAGATATTGAAAAATCGGATCTCTGTAATATTGAACCTTTATTTCTCTGGTGGTGTGACAGTGAATTTGTAAAAAATATAAGGCCTAGTAACCCGATGAATAACACAATGATCTATACTGTAAAATACCTAAAGAAAAAATATGGAACTAAACATATATCAAGAAACGCCGCATTAATATGTTTAAAACTTTATATAAAAATATAAATATTCAAGAATGGGAAAAGTGTGGAATTGCAAAAATAGCGGAACTTCTAAATGATAATAAAATATTGCCATTTGCAACGTTACAGTTCAATTATAATCTCCCTTCGAAGGAAATATTTAATTACTTAAGAATAAAATCTTTTATTATGGGAAACGTTTTTTTGGAAAGTTCTCCATTTGACCAGTTTGTAGCATCTCATTTTAAAAAAAAAATC